GTTGGTAGGGTACAGAGATAAAAGCTTGGCCAGGCATGGTGGCTCACACCTGTAATCCTAGCACTTTGGGAAGCTGAGGTGGGTGGATCAACTGAGGTTGGGGGTTTGAGACCATCCTGGCCAACATGGCGAAAACCCCTCTCTACTGAAAATAAAAAAAAATTAGCCAGGTATGGTTGTGCATGCCTGTAATCCCAGCTACCCGGGAGGCTGAGGAGGGAGAATTGCTTGAACCCGGGAGATGGAGGTTGCAGTGAGCCGAGATTGTGCCATGGCACTCAGGTCTATGCAATGGGAAAAAAACCCCATAAAAAAAAAAAAAAAAAAAAAAAAAGAAAAAAAAAGGAAGAAGCTAAATAGACACAGAGAAAGAAGAAAGAAGAAAAGCAGTAGAGGCCATGAAGTAGTAAAAGACATGAGTAGGCTGAAGCCATGTGGAAGAAGAAGCTATAAGAAGGCAGAATCCAGATATATAGAATTGGACATGAGATGATTAGTTAAGAGAAGTAGAAGAAATATAGAAGAAACACAGAGATGTATCTTTGTAAAGGTTAAGCAAGGGAGGGAGAAGGAAATAAAATACTTTTGCTACTGATATTAATCAAGCAGTTGTGGATTCCAAAGGACTTTCCAGTTCCCAAACTACCTTCCAGCTCCGTCAAACCTATCATTTCCTATACTCCCATAGGGCCTGGCCTTGTGGTTAGAATTCTTTCTTAGTTTTACATGAATTATTTCCTTTAGACCCTACTGTTTTAGGTATCTGAAAGAATCTAGCTAATATACCACGTACAGGAGTTTGGACTTTATTCAGAAGAACAAAGAGAATCATTTAAGGGCTTTATGTTTGTATTTCAGAAAGAGAACTCTGGGACCGGTGCAGAAAATAAACTGGAGACGGACTTGAGGCAGACCTCCACTCTCACTGACTTGGTTCAGGCATTATTATCTCTTACCTGGTTTAAATGCCTGAACCAAGTTAGTAAGAGTGGAAAAAAGTGGGATGAATTAGAAAGTTATGAAGGAGGATGAATCAACAGAACTTGATTCAGCATAGATGTAATGGATGAGAGAGAAGGAAGAGTTAAGTTTGACTCTTAGTTTCTGGGTTTGGGTAACCAGATGGATAGTGACACTTTTCATTGAGAAAGATAATGTATGAAGAGGATCAACTCTTTTTGAGGGAGGAATATGAGGTGCCAATGAGACTTACAGGTAAAGATGTCCAATAACCAGCTGAATATTCACATCTGGATCTCAGACAAGAGCTCTGTAATTATAAGTGTGTATAAAGGCTTGATGTCATAGCTTTCAGAGATATCAAGACTAAGGTTTCTTGTTTTATTCTCACCATGCTAAATTCAGGAATACACTAAACTAGACTGTGTTAGCCTAGGAAAGCTTAGAATAAATAATTTGTTCATATCTGAATATCCTCTATACTGTTTCCTAGCTATCATATTGTGTACTGTATTACTCTGTGATTGATGGGCTACCATGCCTAGGTGAAGTGATCTCTAGAGAATGGGCCATGTATAGGACTAGTCCAGCTTTAGGTGTATAAGGCTAGGACTGGAAGAGAAAGTTAAGTTTCCAGAAGGTCTGATGTTGTGCATTCCAGAAGGTCTGAATATTTGGAAGGTTTAGAAACTTGTACTTTCATCTCTGAGCTGATATTGCAAGTAATTCCTTTATGTATCCTTTAGATAAGTAAACCCAAGTGGTGTCTGTGTGGTGGTATTTCTGTTCATCTGTACCTTGTATTGATAGATATCAACATGGAGGTTATACAGAGTGGTATCAATAGATGGGCAGTTATTTAAGCCATTGGTGTGCATAGGATCGCTAAAGAGAATAAATGAAGAAAACAAGAGAGTGCAGTGGGGAAGACAGCAGAGAATAGAATTCTGGGAAACACTAATAACTAAGGAGTAGGTGAAAGAAAAGATTAAAAGGAGAATAAGTGAATGTGATAAAATCAGGGTCTGAACAAGTAAAAAGGTAGATTGAATGACATTTGTATTTCATCATTAAACTAAGACAGCTATTTCAGAATGACATTAGACAAATTTTCTTATTATACATAAATATATACTTATTGTTAAACAGATATATTTTCGAAAAGATTCATAACAAGGACTCAAAAAAGACATGGATTTCCTAATTTTTCAACTAGAAGGTTAAACACCAGGACACGAGTCGCTGATAATTCTGTTAGAAGTTAATAAAAGACGGCATTAGTCATGACTACAACTTTAAGAGCTCTCTTTTCTACCACCTATTTAAAACATTTATTCAAAACTAATGTGTGCCAGGCATGGTTTACCTACAATATTTCATTTAACCTCACAACTGTCCCATGAAGGAGGCACTTTTGTTTTCTTTTAAAGCTATGGAGAGGTTAAGTAGTAAAGATTAGTGAAAATTAGAGAGGTTAAATAACGTGCTAGAGTCACTCAGGTAGTAACCAACAGAGCTCAGATTCAAACTAGAGCTTTCCAACTTCAGAGTCCGAGGCTTAACTACCATGTAATAATGCTTTGAAAGCATTATTTATGGTAATAAAAGGCTAAATTTATCAGGCATTTATTAATGTAATTTTCAATGAAGACAGATTTTATAGCCACAGAGGAGTTTTATACCCACACCGGCATTTATAGGTGTGCTACAATTTTTAAAGTATTTTTTGAGATACTTAAGAACAAAAATATGTATGTGAATGTTTGTTTTTGCTACTAAACAAGAAATTATTCAGTACTTTGAAATGCTAACTCTTAACTTTAGCTGATTTCTTAACTTGTAGACTAAAAAACTATTTTTACCTTTGGTAACTTGCTTGGCTTTGGCATAAAGCCATGTGTCGCTTCTGGGGCAGTATAATCCCTCTTGGCATGTGTACATAAAAGGTTATTGTGAGTTTATTTTAAAGAAATGTACGGAATACTAGATATAGGTACTTGCTACATCCTTTTTTTTTTTTTTTTTTTTTTTTGAGACGAAGTCTCACTCCATTGCCCAGGTTGGGGTGCAGTGGCGTGACCTCGGCTCACTGCAATGACTGCCTCCAGGGTTCAAGCAATTTTCCTGTCTCAGCCTCCCGAGTAGCTGGGACTACTACAATGCTCGGCTGATTTTTGTATTTTTAGTAGAGACAGAATTTCACCATTTTGGTCAGGCTGGTCTCAAACTTCTGACCTCAGGTGATCCACTCGCCTCAGCTTCCCAAAGTGCCAGGATTACAGGTGTGAGCCGCCTGGCCACTACACCTTAATTTAAAAATTTATCTTTTCAAATCATTGTAAGTATAGTTTTTAATCAATGAATTCCAATTGCATGTCCTTAACTCTGAATAGAGATGTAAAAGATTCTAAAGATGATTTTGAGTTAATCATGCCAAAGTTACCAATAATAAAAAATCCAAAAGAAAAGTTGGCTACATAGTGAAAGAGAATTTGATTCTAGATCACTAGCCCAATTATTAAAACATAATTTTTGGCTAGGTGTGGTGGCTCATGCTTGTAATCCCAGCACTTTGGGAGGTCAAGGCGGGTGGATCACTTGAGGTTAGGAGTTCCAGATCAGCCTGGCCAACATGGTGAAACCCCATTTCTACTAAAAATACAAAAAAAAAAAAACCCAGCCAAAAACAAAAAAAAGTACCTCATTTTTACCAGCTCCCTGGGACCTCAAAAGTAATGTCTGCCACATATTCCACTTTTTTTTTTTTTTGCTAAATTTACAGGTTTTCATAAATTAAGCTTATACTATAGGAGCTGTCAAGTTTCCCAGAAGTTGGGTATTAGGCACAAATGATCAAAATTACTGTTCTGGGCGCTCCCTACTATTACATCATCTGCTCCTTTTATCCATCCTTACTTTGCTTCTTATCAGAAAAAAATAAAATTATTTAGTTTACAAGGTATCTCTGTTACAGCCAAACAGTGCTGCCCGTTGACAACTTCATGGCTCACTGTCTTCCATCCTGTAAAGGTGTCATAAGCTCAGCTGTCTGAGGGTGTTGGTTTCTTCATCTCTACCGTTTCTGGTTTTTCCTCCATCGTTTTCTGCTTTCTGACCAGTAGCTGAGAAATGTCTTGGGGGCAAAAGTAGACCAACCTGGATCTTGGAGAAATACAGATGAAGATTTTTCTGTTTGGCTTTTGCCTCACATTTATTTGGCCCTTCAGACCTAATGAGGGCTTTTATGTATCTGTGCCTTATTTGAGCCTCAAAACGCTCTGGTTTTATAATAACAGGGTATTCATTCAACATGTATGTTCTTATTACCTGCTATATGCCAGACGCTGTTCTAGGTGCTGGAGATACAAAAGGAAACAAATTAAGATTTAAAAGGAAGAAGAAGCGGCCGCCCAACTCTTCCGAAACTCCCCTTTTTTAACTGGGAGCATCTGCCAGTAAAAAGGCCGGGACAGATCTCATAGCACCTGGTAGGTGATTGGAGGAATTTTGGCTTTTACGTACTTTGAGTGAGATGGGAAGCCAGCGGAAGGCGTGGAGCAGAAGGTAGTCTCATTTTACGGATTAGGAAAATAAGAGGCTACCCCACAGTAAGTGCACCAGTTGCGCTTAAAGAAAAAAAAAAAATTAACAGGAGGTAGCCACTGATTTGGGGCCACTAGTCCAGATATTCGAAATGAAGCGGGAGGAGATACGTTAAGATTAATCCACAGGGAAGCAAATTATTTACACCGAAATACAATTTAACACAAACATATGCAAAGACATATGCCAAGGAGTACCCGGGGGCTGTGTTCAGGCACTTGTTAAAGAAAACGAAGCGAATCCTGAAGCCGCAAACCCGGTCTTGAGCCTACTTTATGCTGGGGGTGGGGCTGGGGGTGTGGGGAAATCGCTACCCACCCGGAACCCTGCCTGCCCCGAGCATGGCCACGCCCCCGACACGCCCCGCCGACGGCCTGCCGTCGGGGTTGGCCGCGGCGGTGGTGGAGGCCACGGTGCCCGGAAGTGCGGCTGACGTGTCCCGGTAGCGCTCGGAATTGTGGGCGACTCGGCTAATGGCGTCGGAGAGTTTTAGGGGCCTAGGGAGCTGGTGTTGAAGCTTCTTGCCAGCTTGGCTGGTGACACCCGGTGTGGCTGGGCCCGCGGCAGTGGAGAGACCTGTCCGCCTTGTGGGCTCCTCGGCCAGAGTCGGCGGAGCCTAGCTGGGCGGGGTGACTGCGGGGGCGCCTCCGAGAGAAGCCGGAGGTGTTGCGGGGAGGCTGCTGGGGGACGCTCGAGCAAGCTCCGGGTTCGCAGCCCAGGGCCCGGCGGAGCCCCTGCCGGGACCAAGAAGCGGGCTGCGGAAGGGCCAGAGACGCCGGGAGGGAGCTGCCGGTGGCCCAAAGGAGCTGACAGTGCCGGAGCTTATTTGTACCTCTCCGAAATTGGTTGGGATCTTGGAGGATCATGTCCGGCACCAATAGCCCCGAGGCGGTGAAGAAGCTGCTGGAGAATATGCAGAGCGACTTGCGCGCCTTGTCACTGGAGTGCAAGAAGAAATTCCCACCTGTCAAGGAGGTAAGCTTCAGGCGACGTCAGGTGAAGGCACTGAGTATGCCTGGTCCTGTTAGATACAGTGCTTCACCCCAGTTTCCAGTCCTGTGTAATTTTCATTCGGCTCTCCCCTTTCCAGATTTGTGAGTCGGTGGGTTGTTGCACAAGGGCTTTTTATAGTTTCCACTGGAGCGGGCTGGGGCACTTTGATTTTCTCCCCTCTCCTGTCCTCCCAGTTTAGGAGTGAAGTTCGTGGAGAGAGCTCAGTTAATCCAGCTAGGTGTACTGTACACTAGCCTTTTCTGGCCTATTTCTTATTCGAAACTGGCCAAGCCAAAATTGAAAAACTTACGTCTGTTTGTTGCTCCCCAAAAGGAGTATTTACCTACTGTGTTGAAACCTGCACTCCTCACGTTTACGGCATTTCGCTGCATTGGAAACACTTTTCCTTCTGGCATATATCAGTGGAAACACTTAGCTCTGTGTAAATCCTCTGATGTGTTCATAAACTATTCAGAGCCACCTAGTTTATTAGGAATATTAAAGATCCACAGAATCATGTTAACCCTTGTTATGAGCAGTGCTGTAGTGGGAAGTTAGGCCTGCAGTCAGAGCAAATACAACTGAATTTAAGTTCTAGTAATAAATTTTAACCTCTTTGAGCTTCAGGGTTTTTTGTTTTCAGCTGTAAAATAGGGTTAAAGGGTGGTTTTGTATTATGTATGGGAAAGATGTAAGAGGAAAAGAGTATTATTAAAGAGACGCCAGTTAATAATACATGGAAATTCAATTCTTCAAATAGTTCTTGAGTTGAAATGCTTAACATTTGGTTACTGTTTGTTTTGTCTCTTAAAATGCCATTTTAATTCTCTAAAAAGAAAAACAAACAACAACAGCAAAAAACAGGACTGGCGCGGTGGCTCACACCTGTAATCCCCGCACTTTGGGAGGCTGAGGCGGGCGAATCACAAGGGTCAGGAGTTTGAGACCAGCCTGGCCAACACAATGAAACCCCATCTCTACCAAAAATACAATAATGAGCTGGGCGTGGTGGCGGGCGCCTGTAATCTCAGCTACTCAGGAGGCTGAGGCAGGAGAATCACCGGAACCCGGGAGGCCGAGGTTGCAGTGAGCCGAGGTCATGCCATTGCACTCCAGCCTGTGAGACTGCCTCAAAAAAAAAAAAAACAAACAAACTACAAAAATAAATAAATAAATAAAAAACCTCCGCTCAGGTTTTTTCTCATTTTTGAAATAGGTCTGCGATATTATTCTAAAGGCAATTATTTTATTTTTATTTCTATTAAATGTAGTTTGATTTTCCTGCAATATCATTTACTATTTGCCCTAAAAATTCACCAAGGGTTTTCAGATTTGCATACTTATTTAAATGTTGTACCTTTATTATTATGAAGATTCTGTAATTAGAACTTGACCAATAAATTTTGGATTTTAGGCTTGTGAGGAATATTAACTTTTCTGTAAGTGCATTGGTTTTATCAGTCTTCAACAAACTCCATCTTGTATTTCTTTAATAAATTAAATAGATATTACCCAATGATGGAAACCAGATGTGCCACTTTTGGAAAGATGGCTGTTACGAAATGTTTTATTTCACATAGTCAATAGTTTGTTTTGATAATTGATTTTCATTATTTTTTATGTCCTCTGTTGAAAGTTATAACAAGTAAATCTAAAGAATTAGGCTGTTTTAGAGAACTTTAAAGAATTAAGTTTTAATTGTAAGAGATGCTCTCATTCAGAAAATATCAAACACTATTTTGTAATTTCAACAATAATTTATAAAACTGACTTCACAGTTCTAATTATTCATACAAAACTGTGGTTCCTCTACAGGCTGTTGTGGTCTAGCTTGGGAATATAATTGCCATTTATTACATTTTTTCGTTTTTTGTTTTTGGACATAGGGTCTCACTCTGTGGCCCAGGCTAGAGTGCAGTGATGCGATCTGCAACCTTGAACTCCCCGGCTCAGGTGATTCTCCCACCTCAGCCTCCCAAGTTTTGGGGACAGGTACATACCACCACAATAGGCTAATTTCACACACACACATGCACGCACACACACACACACACACACACAATTTTTTTTTTTTATAGAGTCGGGATTTCCGGCAGGCTGGTCTGCTGAATTGGGCTCAAGTGATCCACCCAGCTCTGCATCCCAAAGTGCTGGGATTACAGGCGTGAACCGCTGTGTCCTGCTGAAAGCTGCTGGAGGATCCCTTGAGCCCAGGTAGTCGAGGCTGCAGTGAGCCGTGATCATGCCACTGTACTCCAGCCTGGGAGACAGAACGAGACCCTGTCTCAAAACAAACTAACAAAAAAGCTTACAAGTTTTTACTTGAACACTGACTAGACAGATATTTTGTAATTGTACCTAGTCTTTGAGATAATAGCAAAAGTAGTTCTTGTGATTATCTCTGATAAATAATTTTGTATATGGTACATGTCTATAAGAATTTGTTAAATGAAAGCTTTTTGATTTCTTAGCCAAATTCCTAAAGTCGGCACTACTTTAGGAATTGCAAAATGTTCTTGACTTTGTCATGGGTTTAAAACAAAGACAGAGCCATTAGCCTAATTATGATGATGTTTTAGGACAAACCTTTGATTTTCAAGAAATATTTTGGCTGAATTAAATTTTCCCTATTAACTTAATGGGAGTGCCAAAATTTGGCTTTTGTTCTTCAAGAAACTACTGGTAAGATTTTGGTTTTACTTTTCTCTTTGGATGCTAAATAAACTTTAAGGCAAAGTCTAAGAAACTGTTCCATGTATAGACTGGTTTGCTATTTAACACTCTCCCAGTGTCTTCACAGGCGTTATCTGGAAAATACTCATTCTGAACTATTTAAAGGCTACTTAATGTAATACAGTTCTAATTGTGTATGTGCTTTGGAACGTATGTCTCCTTCCCCAGTCCTTTTAAAATAAGGTAGCATGAAGTGAGACATTTTATATTTAGTCTTTATAGTCATTTCTACCTTTTATGGCCGTAGTGCTTGGCTATTATTTTATTTATGTATTTATGTTTGTATGTATTTTGAGACAGAATCTCACTCTTTCACCTAGGCTGGAAGTGCAGTGGCAGGATCTTGGCTCACTGCAGCCTTGACCTCCTAGACTCAAGTGATTCTCTCACCTCAGCATCCTGAGTAGCTGGGACTACAGGTGCATGCCACTATACACTGCTGATTTTTGTATTTTTTTTGTAGAGACAGGGTCTCACCATGTTGCCCAGACTGGTCTTCAACTCCTGCCATCAAGCAGTCTGTCCACCTTGGCCTCCCAGAGTGCTAGAATTGTAGGCGTATCCCCAGGCTAGCCATGTAATTCTTCTTTAAAATTAATAATAAGTTGGATTTAAAGATTTCAAATCTGTTAGAAAATGAATGAAAGAGTATTGATAAAGGATAGTGCCTTATTTACTGATATTTACTTACTGTCTTTCGATTTCTACGTAGTTTTTTTTACCATATTATTTTCATTTATTACTCTATCCTTTGTATATTAAATTGTTGTTGTGGTGGCTGTGATTTTATTCTGTCATTTTATAATAAAAGTAGCGTTTAGATTATTGCTGTTATTATCAGCAATAAACGTCTTCCTCTTTTTTTCTGTTTTTCTTAGTCCTTATATATAAATCTTCATATTTTAGCAGCATAACTTTTTTTTTAGTACAACCGTACTAGCCAATTTGGGAATATTTGTATGAATTTTTTTTTCTTTGCCTTAAAAATTACTTTGAAGCCTTCTATAATCAGTTCTGTGTAATTGATATTCAGTGGCCTTCAGAGGAGGAGACCTCTGAAGTCTTATAAGAACTTTTTGATTATTTCCTATTTGCAGGCACAGATGAGGGAAATCTAACTGACACTGGAAGTTGGAGGAGGGATGTCATTCCTAGCAGAGGAAATAGCACATGTTGTTAGTATTCCATGTAAAATAATTTTTTTTTTTTTGAGACAGAGTTTTACTCTTGTCGCCCAGGCTGGAGTACAGTGGCATGGTCTCTGCTCACTGCATCCTCCGCCTTCTGGGTTCAAGTGAGTCTTCTACTTCAGCCTCCCAAGCATTGGAATTACAGGCGTTCACCACCACTCCCAGCTAATTTTTGTATTATTTAGTAGAGATGGGGTTTTACCATTTTGGCCAGGCTGCCGGTCTTGAACTCCTTACCTCAGGTGATCCATTCACCTAGGCCTTCCAAAGTGCTGAGGTTATAGGCCTGAGGTACTGTACCCAGCTCGTAAAATAAATTTTATACTGAAGATGATTGGAGCCATTAGAGCTTTTTTTTTTCTTTTTTGAGACAGAGTCTTGCTCTGTCGCTAGGCTGGAGTGCAGTGGCCCGATCTCGGCTCACTGCAGCCTCTGCCTCCCGGGTTCAAGTGATTCTCCTGCCCCAGCCTCCTGAGTAGCTGGGACTACAAGCATGTGCCACCACACCCAGCTAATTTTTGTATTTTTAGTAGAGATGGAGTTTCACCATGTTGGCTCCGATGGTCTCCATCTCCTGACCTCATGATCTGCTCATCTTGGCCTCTCAAAGTGCTTACAGGTGTGAGCCACCAGGCTCTGCCAGAGCTTTTGGAAAGAGAGTAATATGATCAAATTGATATTTAGTGGCATTGCCTTGACTGTTGGTAGGAAGAATTAGAGGGTATTGAGATTGAGGGAAAGAGAGCAAAGTTTATAAAACGTTGATTCTCTGTATTGAAGCAGTAGTGGACATAGACAGAAGATTGCTTGCATTGTGTTAGACAGTAGTGAAAGAGAGAGTATAGATTGAAAAGGTAAAAATTACCAAGGCATGGTAACCTTTCATATAATGGAGAGAGAGAAATGTGATGCCTCCCAGGTTTCTGGCCTGGGAAACTAGGTGGATCACTAAGAGAAGAAATAAAAGAGAAGGAAATGTTTTGGGGGAAAATGAGCAGTCATTTTATATCTATATCTATATCTATATCTATATATAAAATAGATCTATCGATAGATCTA